TTGACAAAAGGTCTCTTAAGGACTGTGGACTTTTTTTCTTTCTCTTTGGGACAACGGTTGTTGGGGACCTGAAATACTTTGTGATTGGGGGTTTGCTGGTTGTCCCTTGAAGGATGAAACAGTATAGAAAGAGCTACCACTGAGTTGGACTGTCACAGTTATCAAGAGTGAACTGATTCTGTGAGCTGGTTGTTGTTGCTTATTCAACTCAAACTAAGCTCATCAAGAACCCCAGTACTTTGGAAAACTTATTAAAATCCTAATTAGAGCCTTTGCATGATGGATTTCTCAAACCTTGAAAACAAGAATGCTGCTGAATATGGACAGACTTTGGGAACCCCAGCCGATTCCATGTTGGTTGTAACTACAGTTAAACTTGATGGGACCAATTACTTGGCTTGGTCACAATCAGTGAAAATCCATATTTGTAGCARAGGAAAATGGGGTTTTATTTCTGGGAGCAAGAAAGCTCCTCCAGAGGATGATCCATCTTATGAGAGATGGATGCAAGAAAACTACACAGTGATTGGGTGGCTTGTGAATTCAATGCAGCCACAGATTAGTCAGCATTATCTTTGGATGAACTCGGCTAAGGAAATCTGGGATAGTGTTGCTGAAACTTACTCCCAGAAGTTGAATGTTGCCAGAGCCTACAAACTGAGAAGTGATGTGAAGAATCTAAGGCAGGGGGAGAAGTCACTTGCAGCATACTTTTCAACCCTGAAATTTTTATGGCAAGAGATTGATTTGATAGAGGCTGTGACATGGGATACCCCTAATGATGCTGAAACATATAGGAAATTAGTTGAAAGAAACAGGGTCTTTGAGTTCTTGACAGGGCTGAATTCTAAATATGACATCACGAAGCAAAACATTTTGTCCAAGGAAGATGTTTCATTGCCTCAAGCATATGTTTTGGTCAGCAGTGAAGAGAGTAGGAGGCAAGTGCAGGTTCAAGGAGTCAGTATCAATGATTATTTTGCAAATATGGGAATTAAATCCAAAGGGGTTATAGGAGCTCCCAGTGGCACAAGAAAGAAGGAGGTGGTATGTGAATATTGCAAGAAGCCGAAACACACCAAGGACAAGTGCTGGAAATTGCATCCCAGTCTTGTCCCTATCCGATTCCAGAAGAAGAAAGATAGTAGAAAGACAGGAAGTGCACATGCATTCACAAGTACAGATATAGAGGTCGAGTCTGCCAATGCACAGTTGGCAGCCATGAAAGCTGAATATGTGAAGTTTGGAAAGATGATCAGCCAGCTTGAAGGTGTAACTTCATCATTCAACCCTTTTGGAAGTCCAACCACCACCGCATTTGCTCACTCAGGTATAAGGGCTTCTGCTAACCATGCATCCACCTTAGGTAATCCCAAGACCCCTTAGATCATAGACTTAGGTGCTTCTGATCACATGACCAACCTTTTCACTTTGTTTGTTTCATATGATTTGCTTCTTGGTCGTGACAAAATCACCTTAGCTGATGGTTCTCTTGCCCTTATTTCTGGCAAGGGAACTGT